AGTTGAAGTTATGTACACACATACACATACACACAGAGTTGAAGTTATGTACACACATACACATACATATAGGTGTTCTGTAACTATTTGCATCCAACACTGTACCTGTGACACTCTAGCCAATCAGAAACTACTTTCCTGCAAAGAATGTAACATTTATTTTAAATGATAGTTAGCAAAATATAGTCATGTCAATTTTTCTTCAAATTCTTAAGTATATATTTCAAAAAGTTTGACACCTGGCTATTAAAAGCCAGTTAACATTCATTATTTCATACCAAAACAAAACCAAAAAAATATACCTATGGGAACTGTGGTTGACATACCAGTATTGTTAGGAACTGCCCATATTCCAGGTGCACCCCTCAGCCTGCCTTCAGTGACTGACTCAGTACCAGCAGCCTTATCTTCACCAGCCACCAAGCATTCCATTGTTACCACAAGTCACATACTGTTTATAAAGCCCCCACCATCACGCCCCCCTTTCCCCCTCTCTCCTATCCTTGATCAGAAGTGCCCTCCCCCACTCCAAAATAAATCTCTTGTATGTGAATTGTTGCATAGTGTGATCTCTGTGGCATTCCTTGGCCCCAATCCATCAAGATACTCTTCTGCCTCAAAACCCTCAGTTGGTGCTGAGACTCTGTAGGGTACCCTGGTGCCTGTGCACTCCCCCTCGGGGGTCGAAGCTGCACAAGGACCCTGTTCCTTACATCCACCCACAGCAGACTCACAGACTCACCCTCTACCTCACCTATCACTGAGCACCCCATTCAACAGCAGTAATTGCTAAGTTTCCCTTTGGTGGGTGTAAACGCTTCCCTGGATTCAAGGGAGTGACTGTTGAGCATTTGGTATTCTTGGAGGCTGAGGTACCTCCAGGCATGGTCTTTAAGGCTAGGGTGGACCCTCTCCACCAACCCCACCTCTGACCCTTTCCCTTAAGCTGAGGCTTCATTTTCAAGCTCGTTTTTTCATCTTTTGCTTTCAAAAGCCCTGGTACCAAGGCGCCCAGTGTCCTCTGGATTTTGGCCCTTGATCCCCAACCATTCGGTGAGATGATGATCCACTGAACAGCTTGTGTCTTCCAGTTCAGCCTTCCCTGGGTCCTAGGGACACCTTGGACTAAAGGCCTAGGACCTTACCCTCTTCCTCACCCATGGGAATGGTGTTATCCATAGAAAACCTCCAGCCTCTTCACCTGACACCTGCCCTGAAGGGCTCCAAATTTATTCACTTTTGTAATAAAATCTGACATCAATAGTCCTTTAGATAACCAATCCAAATGTGGCTGACTAGTGGCACCCTAGATCCCAATATTATCCAGGACCTTTACAAATACTGAAAGTGATCAAGGGGAGTGGAAATTTCTCACTTCCCGTTCCCTATTTCTCTTTTATCTGCTCCAAGACATTTGTTTTTGTCTGGTCAGAACCGGTCAGAACCGGTAGTCTTCCACCCCCACCTCTGTAAATGTCCTATCTTTAAGTTACCACTGATGGATCTGTAAGTTTGTTGCAAAGTGTCCCGGGGGTGGGGTGGGGGGGAGTAAAGGAGTAGGCCAGCTGCAGGTGCACATATCAAGTACACATCTGTTCTCCCCTCAGTGCCTGCCCCAAGCTGCTGATTTGACTCTCCTAAGGTGTGTATGGTTCATTTATTTCTGCTGGCTTCTGCCACCCACAAGATTTGATTCCAAATTCTAGAGTCCATTTCTTCAGCTGCTTCCCTCTACCTGCTTTCTAGTTGCTACTCTTGTCTGGCCAGCTGTGCCTTCCGAGTTCCAGCCTAGCCTGCTGCACCTCTGGCCTGCTACACCCTGTGGATATTTCCCTCCTCTCCTGCTCCCCTCTCTCACCTTTCCTAGGAGCTGCAGTCCTGCCTGTGGCACCTGGGACTTTGCTTTGCTTCCTCCCACTCGGTGCTACCTGGTCTGATTCTCCTTGTGCCCTCCTGGGCCGATACTTTGTGGATTTCCTCGCCTCCCCCAGGAGCTGCCTGCTAAGTTCTGCAGGTTCTCCTCACCCTCCTGACTTCTACAATATTGGAACCCTTCCTAAGGTGAAGTTCCTGGTTGTGTCTACTTGTCCCTTAACTGTTCCTCCCCTTGTCCTCGCTATAAGTGTCTCTGGGTCCTGCAGCCTGCTTCTGTTCCCTTGGGCAGTGTTCTCTCTTGGCTCTGGCCTGCTGTGCTCCTTTGGGTCTCTCTAGGAAAGGTACTCACTGGCTCCTTCCCCCCCCCCCCCCCCCCCGCACTCTCTTGCCTGTCTCTGGCTCCAGTCTGCAGGCCCACAGGTCCCATCTTCCTCACGGAGCTTATAGGAACACTCCCTTCTCCATGTGTGATGCTCTGCTTTGTGGCCCTCTCTCTCTTCCTCCATGGACTCAGATTTTATAACAACAGCCTGGCCTCAGTACAGATCAATGACCAAAATACTGGCAAACCCAATTTCCAAATTATCACAGATCATAACAACTGCTACCGCACAGGCAAATGATCCCCAAATATCTTGTATCTAAACTTTCTCTGCTCTACACTTCCTCTACTTTCCATTCTTAAAAATATTTTATCTCTATAATTTATTTGTGCTCTCCTCTCAAAAAATCTCTTAAGACAGACATGCTCTATCTCAGGATTTCTAAGTTCATGGGGTATGGTTTAAAATCTATAACAAAAATCTGGCTTTAAATATAGAACAAAAGGCTTATAATTAAAATTCTCTATACATGGGTATATGTGTGTGTGTGTTTGTGTATGTGTGTAATTTAGCTCTTTAGAATATACTGTATATGTAACTTAGATTCAACCCTATTGAAAGGTTTTTGCACCCTGATAAGCCTCTCCACAGACACAGCAATCCAAATCAGACCAAATCAGAAAAAGCCCTGGTTTAATGGGTAAAGTGTTCCCAGGTAATTCTCCAGCCCCCCAGGGAGGAGACAGGGATGAGAGACCTGAAAACCACATGTCTCTTTTCTATGATGCAGCTTAAATACCCTGTGGGAATGGTCTTGAGCGTCTCTGGGGGAGGAACAATATTTGGTGGGCTTTGAAGGGGTGGGTTTGGGGAAAGAGATGGGGGAGGGGAGTTGAGGGGGATCTTCTACCAGAACATTCCAGACTCTTTGGATAGAGGGATGCTGATTCAAGTCTGGCTACTTCCTGCAGGCATGGGGCAATGTGGGGAAGTGGGAGAGTCAGGAGTTGGTAGGCTCACATTCAGCAGGAGGTATGAATGGAGGAGCATCTGGTTAATTGTCATCCTGAAGACCTCAGGCATCTGTTTCTTGAGGAAGCAAAGAAGGCAAGTTTCTAGGAAAAAATAGATTATTAACATCTGTCCTACTTGTACTGCAGAGATGAATGCACAGGGCAGAAGAGCAGATAGGCCCTTCATTGGGACATCTTGGAAAAGTGGAGGGTAGAGGGTCTCAGGTACTTGACAGACCATTTATCCTGAATAGGTGCCCGCTTGAGCCTGGAGAGATGGTACCAGCACTGACACCCAGGAGCTTGGCAGCTCGGAAGCATCATCCTATAACCAAGCAGTAAAGGGGGGACTCAGCTCTAACTCTAGCACGCACACACTATTTTCCCTACCAGTACTTTCTTCTACTTAGATTTTTTTTCATAAGAAAGAAGAATTTTGGAACATCAAATATCTACGAGTACTAACTTACTTTTCTGGTTATTAGACAAGCTTTATGATGTGTGTGTCCATCTGATTTTTTTTTCATTAAAAATATTTTATTTAGTATATCCTCTCATTCAGAGAATAACCATGATAAACATAGGTTACTTTAAAATATTATAGCAATGGTTTTCTTGAAGGTAATTTGATTAGTACAGTTATAAATACAAAAGGGGGAGAAATTACCAGAAATAACACATGATTTTTAACAAAGCTTCAGGAAAATCTTATTAAAATTTATTTAAAATCTTACAGGTAGGCTGAGTCTGGCGCATGCCTATAATCCAGTACTTAAAGGAGTAGACATGGGGAGATTGTAAGTCTGAGGCCAGCCTGGGCTAGATAGCAAACACCTATCTAAAAACCAAAAACTATACAATTTTTGCATATACTTTTAGCTCTTCGGAGCCTTCTGCCAGTAAGGCACCTGCAATAGTAGAAAATTTGCTGCTGCAGCCTTCGGGAACATTCCTTGATGGCTGTTGTGCTGATGTTCCTCTTGACAAAGCGTGCTTTAAGATAGCTACATATTTATGTACCTCCCAACTTCCAAGTGGAAACACTCCTATTGAATTGATGGGTTGGAACAAAAGCATACGTCCTTAGCCATACAAGTTTCCCACAAATTAGAATTTCATAAAAACATGAAGTGTTAACACAGAGATGTGGTAACTGACTTTATGAAAGCTGGCACGACGTAACTCAACAAAACCTCTAGCTGTGGTGTGGAGTCATTCTGTTACCAGGCAGCAATTCCTCACTGCATGAATAGCAACAACCTACTGGTTCTTAGAGCCCAACTAACA